TGAAGTGTACAAGAGGCTGAAATGAAATGAAATCATTTATTTGCGAAATATTGGTACAGTACTGCAATTTAATTTTGTTTGCATACTAAATGCAAATAAAACTAATTGTGTCAAATTTACGCGCCCCAATGTAAGGCAGGTAGATTCACAAATCGTATTGGACAATAAACCTATTAATTTTGTTGACGATACTGTATTACTAGGTATCACTTTAGATTCCAAGTTGCAATGGGGTGCAGATATTACTAAATTGGCGAGTCGACTTAGGTCTACCGCTTATGCGGTAAGAAGAATTAGACAATTAACTGATTACACTAAAAATGAATGCGTAGCAATTTCAATGTTGATCATCGCATGCCTCTTACTTGTTGTACTGTAATTATTTATAAAAAAAAAACATCTATTCAAAAGAGCAACACACAAATTTCTTGTGATGAATGTACATTCCGAATGAGTGGTAGAATGAATATATGACTATTCAAAAGTGCTTGTAATGTGTATATTTGAATAAAGATTATTTCTATTTCTATTTCATAATTACATAAGTATGATAAACAATATATGTTAAAAATATTATTTTAAAAATTTTAATGTATATAACTCATAGGTGACTGACATAGTGATCTATCAATGCACAGCCCAAACCACTGGACGGATCTGAATGAAATTTGGCATGCAGGTAGATGTTATGACGTACGCATCACCTAAGAACGGATTTTGATTAATTCTACCCCCAAGGGGATAAAATAGGGAATGAAAGTTTGTATAAAACTTTGTCAATTTAAACCGATCGGGCTTGAGATTTTGCATGCATAAAGCTACTATGACGTAGGCATCCCCAAAGAAAGGATTTTGATAAACTCCACCCCTAAGGGGATAAAATAACGCGAGCGAAGCCGCGGGTAAAAGCTAGTAAATCATAAATTTACTCACGCAAGTAAAACTTTAGTCGTATAATAAAAGATAGTAAACAAAACAAATATAACAAGAATAAAGGTTAACACAGTAATTATGATTTATCAATTCCACCAGCGTCCCACCGCTACATGAACATAAATATTATTATACTAGCAGAGAGCCGAAAAATCACGGAAACTATTCCTCAACTATTTCCCTGAAAATCCTATCTGATTCTGAATTCAGGTCGCACCTCGAATCAAACACTCGGTTCCAATCTATGTACGCTCGGATGCAAGGCGCGGGCGATATTTTCAGAGGAGGAGAATGATATGGACCACAAAAAGATCGTGTTGTCTTTCCACGAGCTTAACACTTTCCGATCTCTGCACGGCAAGTGGAACAATTTCTCTGTTTTATTTTTTAAATTGTTGTATAACCCAGGAATGGTCTTGAGTTATAGAATATAATCCAGGAATTATCTTGGGTTATAGAATATAACCCAGGAATTATCTTGGGTTATAGAATATAACCCAGGAATTATGTTGGGTTATAGAATATAACCCAGGTTATTATAACCCATGTTGTGTAATAGAAAAAATAAACAATAGACGCTGTGTGAATTATCATACAGCGTCTAATAGTCTCAAATGAAGCAGAGTATTTTTGAAGGGATGATAGTGGAATTGTTTAAGCTGGCGCACCAGTGGATAATGATAAGCTGTGCAGGAGGTCAGGTACATGTCTTTCCACACGCTTAACACTTTCCAAATCTTTTATATTTACACGGCAAGTGGAACAATTTCTCTGTTGTATTTTTTCTATAACCCAGGAATTATGTTTTGCACGGCAAGTTGAAATATTTCTCTGTTTATTTTTTATTTTTTTCTGTAACCCAGGAATTATCTTGAGTTATAGAAAAAATAATAAATAGAGGCTGTTTGAATTATCATATAGCGTAAGTTATAGATATAGTCCCAAATTAGGCAGAGGTTTTTGAAGAGATGTGTGGACAATGATATATAATATACCTCGTGCTCAAGATGAGCACGAGGTTAGGTCAGAGTGTATATCGTGACAAATTCACTAGGAATATATCACGAAGCTTTCCAGGGCGAGCTACGTGGAGGTTGACCTAACCAACATGCTATATTGCCAGCTATGTGGTCTCTAGTCTCACCACTAACAATATTCTTCACCTCAATAAAGCAGAATTTGAAATTGTAAAAATTTATGAGTACTAAAATTCTTCTAATTTTATTTTATCTTAAGTCAGAGAGGATTTTTTGATATCAACTCAGCCATATCATTATATATTTTGCATATTTTGCTGTAGAAACTCATAGCTACATATGGGCTAAAACGTTTTGCAAAAATTGTATGTACAATAGGCAGGGGTATCTGAAAGACTTTAATAGGTTTCCACAGTTAGTGGAATTCAGTACAACTTTACGAGTGACTGAAATCACTTTTATCAAAAATAGTTTCCTAACACTAAGGTACTTTGCATTCCTCATATAACTCAGTTGTAGAATACCCATATGTTACGGAGCGGTAGCAGCAATGAGATACTATTATATATATTTTTTTTTTTACTTATATGTACTTTTCACTTCGAGCGTTGGTCTGTGCCCACAATATAGTGGTTCTGTTTAAAGTCAGTAGGTAGGTGGGACTGTTATGGTCAAATCAGAACTTATATCTTGTACTCAATAATAAACATGATTATATCAAACTTCTAGGTTCTAGACCATACATTTTATGTCATAATTATAATTAGATTTAGTCTTTATCTGTTTACAGCGACCTCGGTGGTCTAGCACACCGCTTTAAGACCGATGGTCGTGGGTTCGATTCCTCGCACGGCACAAACATTTATATTCATGAATATGATTGTTTGTATCGGTCTGGGTGTTTTCTATGTATAATATGCATGTATTTACAAAAAAAACTGTGTATATATATTACTCATAACACAAGCTTTAGCTAGCTAAACTTGGGTCCAGATGACGCTGTGTGAACTGTCCTGAGATTAATATTATTATTATAATTATATATTTACTTAACAGTTTATAAGCATAAATAATATTAATTAAATAAAAATATATTGTGGTGGTTATCTCATTCAAACCAGATGGCGTTGTAGTCGCTGAAATCTGCTTTAGCGGGGCAAGATGGCGATCGGTTGCCGTTGGCGGTAACACATATCTTTTCAACAATCACAAATGTATATATTTTGAACACAACGTAGCGGAGTTCGAGTATACTCGACTCTCGTATTTTTTGTATTGATATCAGCATTTCCTTCACCGCTGTTTATTCAAATAAACTTAAGATATATAGAATAGTAATTTTTCATCCGCTCGAGCGCTCATTCGGAATGCAGATTCAACCGAGAGCATTCCTCTTGATTGAATCGAGCGTGCATGGCAATAGTTGTTCATGCACGGGATTTTCATTTAATGTTAGACATAGACACCTATCTTATATATAAAATTCTCGTGTCACAGTTTTCGTTCCCATACTCCTCCGAAACAGCTTTTTTTTTATTTTAAGGCAAAACAACGTTTGCCCGGCAAACGTTGTTTTGCCTTAAAATAATAAAAACAGCTAGTATAAATATATATTGAAAATAAACTGGCTTTTAAAAAAAGTCATTCAATTGAGATTCTTGCCAGTTCTTCTCGATTGGATTGGATCTATATACTGAACTGGACGGTAGGGAAAAAATTATAATATAAAAAAATTTGTCGTTCATAAGCGGCTCATAAATGTCCTGTATGAATAAATGATTTTTGAATTTGAAACATATTTTTTCTTGGGATAATCAAAGTTCATATTATTGCTACTATTTTAAAATTTAGAAATTTATACACTCTTAGTCAATTATAATAACCAATGATATAATTAGAAATATTTTGCACTGAACTTAAAAAATATTCTTATTATTTTACAAAGAATATTTATTTATTTATTTAAAACTTTATTAAGCAATAAATTATGGTACAACAGGCGGACTTAATGCTATACGTATTCTTTATCTGTCAACCTTCGGGAATATGTATGTTAGACTTTACTTCATTCACAAGTTTGTAATCTATATATCTATACATATAAATGAAATTAGAGGTCTGTTTATAATTTTGAAATATCCGTTTTTTACATGTTTTTTATACCGTTTGTTTTATACCGTTTTTTATATATGCATGTACATAGGAATATATCTAGGGTACATATACTAAAATAACATTTTTTACAATTTTTGTCTATCTGTCTGTCGGTCTGTTTGTTCCAGCTAATCTCTGAAATGGCTGGACCGATTTTGACGGGACTTTTTTTGGCAGGTAACTGATGTAATAAGGAGTAACTTACGTTACTTTTATTTTTGAAAAAAAAAAATATTTTGGATAAATAAAGTAATGTTGCAAAATTCCACACGGACGAAGTCGCGGGTACAGCTGGTATTAAATATACGTGTCGTTTAAGAATCGAACTTACGCCTATTAATTTTAAGCAAATGTGCTAAACCACTAGACCACAAAAGCCGTTAGCTCAAGAGCCCACGACTGCCAGACTTACGTCATTTTAGTAAACGTGAAAGATGTTGTATGTGTGTCCCCAACACAGGTAAGAACGATCCCCAAACATGAAACCTGGATCGTGGTTCCTTTGGCAGGTACCAGGTAACAAAGGTGTAAAAAAAATCATATCAAATTCGTTATTTTAAGAAACTCCATATTTTCATATATTGTTCGTAGCATTATTATAACTTGCGCTGCTCATTGCCAGACACTTAGTGTGGTTCCAACCTCCCGCCGGACCCCCCTAAACTATACTCTTATACTTTTATAAATAAACTTACGTCATTTTAATAGAGCTGAACTTTATATATATCATTGAGAGAACTTTAAAACTGAGTTTCCTAAATTGCCAGACAGTTTTCTTAGTTCCTTATCCTACCAGACTCATTGAAACCGTATATTGGGTAACAACGGTGTATATAATTTCATATCAGATTCGTTATTTTAAGATGCTATAAGAAAATTTTGATAAAATTTAAAAAATAAATTGAAAATTTTGATATTATGATGATAAGTACTTACAATGCAATATTTTGCGTTGCTTGGACAGTCTTCCAGTTGAGTGGCGCTTCTGTTATTGCAAGGCGTAATGGAGCCTACTCCGTCGCTGTACTGGCCGCACTTCCAGCACCTGATGCTGGTGGTAATAGCCACCAGGGCCAGGAGAATGCACACTGTTAATACCCGACTGGCACTCGTCATTATCTGAAACAAAAGTTATTTATTTATCCTCTTGAAAAAAAATCATAATCGATAAATCTGTTTGTAAATTATAATATATGTGGGAAAGAGAAGCATTATGTCATCTCTATTGCACACTGCTGGCGTCATGCGAGCATTACGCTGTAAGCGGCGAGTGAGTAAAGTTATGTGTGCCTGTGAAACGGTAATTAAGGAGACAAACAGTACATAAATCTTTTGTAATGCTTGTTATAATATTGGAGTGTCTGTTTGTAATATTGAAATAACCGTTTTTTACTACATGCATATGAATATAAATACGGCAAATACACCAAAATAACATTGTTTACAATTTTTGTCTATCTGTTTGTCTATCAGTTTGTTCCGGCTAATAAAAATATGGTTTTGTTTTTGTGTTAACAAATTACAATGTAATGGAAACGTCGAGTTAAGTACTTATAAATATTTAATATTTAACTATAGTAATAAAGTGTACTAATCACGTAAATTGAAAAATAACTAATTAAAAAGAAATATTTTTTTGAAAAGCCTCGTCCATTTATGTATACATGATACAGTATAATAATAATAATAATAATAATAATAAATTTTATTAAGCCACAATCATGTACAGGTATAAATTCATTTTTAGTATATTAGAGTATTTGATCTTTCAGAAACAAAAATCTACTTTTTTTTACCTTTTGCAACATAATCACAAAATCTAGAAGATTATTTATTCAATAAATAAAATACTTCTGTTGTTTTTTTTAATTTTTCCTGTTTTTTTATACTACGTAGTTGGCCAAATAAGTAAATGATGGTAAACGGTTACCGTAGCTTATGGACGCCTGAAACACCAGAGATGTCACGTGCGTTATCGATCCTTAAGAAACCTTAATATACCCTTTTTAAAAAACCCCATTCTGTAGTCCAGTGATTCCCAAAGTGGTATATATCGACCCCCATGGGTCTATGATATACTACAAGGGGTCTACGACAGCGGTCATCTTGTTGTTTTTACTTTATATTTTTAACACTAAAGTTTACTATCGTTAGAAATTTACAAAAAATAAATACCAGGTAAGAATGGGGGGTCTACCCAAAACCGAAAAATATGGCAAAGGGTCTACGATACAAAAAAGTTTGGTAACCGCTGCTGTAGTCGCTCGAGAAAACCTCGGCAGGTAGGTCTTTCCACAATTAGTTTGCGGAAGCTGAAACCGCACTGTCCGAGACCACTTAGTTTCCAGCGTGTGAAGATAAATTCCATGTCGATGGCGAGCGGTGCGATGGTAAATGGTAGCCGTGGGCATTCTATAGTGTGTACTGAGAATGCAACTAAAATAATTATCTATGTATAGGTTATCCATATGTAGCAAAGCCTATTACTCACTAAACGATTACTTGAATGACGAGCGTGCATAGCAATAGTTGTTCATGCACGGGATTTCCAGTCAAAGTTAGACATATACATCTATATAAATATACATTGTATATTAACTGGCTTAAAAAAAAAGAAATACAATTGAGTTTCTTGCAAGTTCTTCTCAATTGGATCTATATGCTGAACTGGAGGTAGCCAAAAATTTAGCGTTCATAAGCGGCTAAAATCCTTACTAAAATTATAAATGCGAAAGTAACTCTGTCTGTCTGTCTCACTTTCACGCCAAAACTACTGAACCGATTTAAATGAAATTTGGTACACAGATAGTATAGAACTTGAGAAAGGACATAGGCAATTTTTTAATCCAAAAAAACGCTTGTAAGGAGTTGAACGGGAGATGAAAGGTTATATGGAAATATCAACAATTATTATATTATACTTATATGAATAAATGATTTTTTAATTTGAATGTATAATAATCGTAGACGTGGGAATCCAGGGCGAGTCACTAGTTATTAATATTCGTGTTCCTTACATTGTTTACAGTGAAACAGTATGTATGTATGGACGTATATTGAATGCCGACCCTTCTACAATATGGCGCAATATTTTATGAGCGGCACACACGCCAATCAATCTTCGCGTACAACATCCAATGAACATGTATTAACAAGATATATGTCTATATTCACGCTAGGATTTCACTGGGTAGACAGAAACCGAGATAGAAAATTTTTAGATTAACTAACTTTTACATATATTTTTACATCATCATCATCTGAGCCCAGAAGACGTCCACTGCTGAACATAGGCCTCCCCCAAAGATCTCCACGATGATCGATCCTGCGATGCTCGCATCCAATGCCTTCCAGCGACCTTGATCAGATCGTCGGTCCACCTTGCTGGAGGCCTTCCCACGCGCGTCTTCCGGTCCGTGGTCGCCACTCGTGGACTTTACTGCCCCACCGGCCATCTGTCCTACGAGCTATGTGCCCTGCCCATTGCCACTTCAGTTTTGCAATTCTTCGGGCTATGTCAGTCACTCTGGTTCTTCTGCGGATCTCCTCATTTCTGATTCGATCACGCAGAGAAACTCCGAGCATAGCCCTCACCATTGTCCTCTGAATAACTTTGAGCTTATTCATAAGGCCCATAGTTAGCGACCACGTCTCTGTTCCGTATATCATTTTTACACATACTAGCTGTTATTTTCAACTTCAGTTTTGCAATTCTTCGGGCTATGTCGGTCACTCTGGTTCTTCTGCGGATCTCCTCATTTCTGATTCGATCATGCAGAGAAACTCCGAGCATAGCCCTCACCATTGTCCTCTGAATAACTTTGAGCTTATTCATAAGGCCCATAGTTAGCGACCACGTCTCTGTTCCGTATATCATTTTTACACATACTAGCTGTTATTTTCAACTTCAGTTTTGCAATTCTTCGGGCTATGTCGGTCACTCTGGTTCTTCTGCGGATCTCCTCATTTCTGATTCGATCATGCAGAGAAACTCCGAGCATAGCCCTCACCATTGCCCTCTGAGTGACTCTGAGCTTATTCATGAGGCCCATAGTTAGCGACCACGTCTCTGTTCCGTATGTCTTTTTTTACATATACAAGCTATTATTCTCATAATCCGTTAATTATTCTCAGGGTACAATCTATCTGCAAGTTTATTAAAATCGGCCTCGGTAGTCTAGCAGTTTAGCTCACCACTTTACTTCCGATGATGTTGAACTTTAAATTTTCTTTTTATTCTATTTTCTGTTTATTTTGTTTCATTTTTTATATAGTCAACAATTGTATTTTTTATGAAATTAATCTAAATAATCTTAATTAGTCTGATACGTCAAACTCACTGATCAGTAATAGTAAATAATTATTTGGCAATTCTTTTGTGGACTCCCGCGATACAGGTTCGCCAAGTGCGGGGTCCAATGTATAATCAATTTTGTAATATTTGTACGTTATTTGAATAAGAATAAAGAATAGAATAAGATGGTCATAGGTACGATTCCTCGCACGGTACAAACATCTCTACAATACAGGCCTGCGAGCCTAGTGTAGAACTACAGTAAATTAAAATATGTATCATGAATAAATATTATTATTATTACTAATTGTATTCATCAGAATGATTATTTGTATTGGTCTGGGTGTTTTCTATGTATTTTTAAAGGACCAATAAAACAAGCTCTGCTTAGCTTGGGACTAGATGGCGCTGTGTGAATTGTCCTGATATATTATTATAGTATAATTTACTTATTGATTAAATTTGCACCGCCTACAGTTTCTCTGCACAACCTGTGGTTGACTGGTAGAAAATGCCGTAAGGCGTTAAGTCCGCCATATGTACTTTTACCTTGGTATTTTGTGCATTGAAGTTATATAAATAAATAAATAAATTATTGTATTATATAATTCGTATTGTTTTTTGGTATAAATAGGAGAATGTGCTGAACTAACAGACAGACAGGCAGTCAGTTTTTAGTATTTATATTTATAATATCAGTGCGAATATGGAGGTTTCGATTTGAAATTATCATATTCTTCCAATGATATAAGCTTTTTAAATTCTTTTCTTTTATTTAATTAATTTTAATGCAAGTCATACACAAGTAAAAAGTACATATGGCGTACTTAACTAACTTTCTACCAGGCAACCATGAGCTGTGCAGAGATAAATTGTTGACGGTGCAAATAATATTATATTTTCATAAAAAAACCACAAAATTTTCCTAAGAAGAAAATTCTGTGAAGATAATAAGTAAATTCCTTGATTGAAAATACAGTTTCTTAGGTATAATTCTAAATTGAAATCGTTAAAAGAAAAACTGACCGACAAATCATCGAGTTTAATTAGTTGTAAAAAATGTTCAAAAAGTTCGTTTTACATCGACCTGCTCCCAGGCAGAATCCTCTTAAAATATTATGATATTTGAACAAAGAAAATATGAAATAATATTTACTCCACAAACATTCAACAAACTCGAAACACAGAAACAAGAGACTTATCAGACAACGAGCAATTATAATACGTATAAATTATAGAATAAAATTCAAAACACAACACCAAAAATTATAAAATCATAAAATAATTTAAGAACAAAATGCAGCAAAAAGAATACAAGAATGATAAATCGATAAAAACAATAAATATACATGCTATGATATACCAGATTTTTTAGAGTACTCTATACCTTTTTTTATAACACCCCCTGTGTTAAAACGAGCATGCGGCTCACCTGATGGTAATTGATTACCGCCGCCCATGAACACCCGAAACACCAAGGGTATTGCAAGAGCGTTGTCGGCCTTTTAAAAAGGATTAACCTCTTTTCTTAAAGGTTTCAATATCGTATCGGTTCGGAAATACCATTGCTGGAAGGTGATTCCACAATATGGTTGTGCGTGGCAAAAAGTTTCTAGAAAACCGCAATGTGGAAGACCGCCATTCATCCAGATGATCAGGATGGTATTTTAGTTTCTAGCGGGTGGTACGGTGGTGAAACTCAGCAGCTGGTATTAATCCGAACAATTCCTCAGAACGCTCACTGTAATATATGCGGTAGAAAATGCACAGAGATGCAATATCTCGCAGAGCCAATGGGTCGAGTCTATCACGAAGACGTTTT